CCGCACTATGGCCCTGAGGTCCACTCTGCCTCTGACAGAAATGAGTACCAGGAAACTTCCTGGGGGTAAAGGGACGGCCGGTGGGTAAGGCTGACAACCTCACCGCCATTTGTGAGCCGAGTGTCTAGAAAAAATTTGGAAGCCTTAATGTCTCACAACTCTAGAGGCCTCCACGGTCTGTTACAGGGATAGCTTTACATTTTACCATAAAGGGAACAAATTTCGTCTCCATTATACGGTGCAATTGGTTATGTTGCTTACTCTGAAATGCACATGAACACGTAGTGACGGTAAAATTCTGCGTGTTTCTAATGTTACAGCAGATGGTAAGACACAACTGTGCTCTGTCGGGTGTCTGCCAGCACACACAACTTGAATCAAATGCTTAATCCGTTACCTCTCCGAATAACACCTCCGAGGGTCAACCGCCTGCACTGAAAATGTTGGTCGTGTAGCAGTCGACTGATTTCTTGTAACCTTGGCCTCCATGCCGTTGTTACCAGCTCAGGGACGGAACTGTCGTCACTTACGTCCGACTGAACCATCGGAGCCAAATGGGCGCATTGCGCCCATTAATCTGATCAATCATTCGAACCAAAACAGCCACGCTTACTTCACACTTTATCGATAACAATCACATGATAGGCCCAACACATCTTGCAGTTCGCGTCGCGAGGAATAGAATCCAACCGCATGCGCCACTAACCTCAAACTGACGTCTGCCGGCCGGGGACGTGCGGTTCTGGTAGTGCACTCCGCGCAGGTGCGGCAAGCCTCCCCCCACTCCCGTAATTTGCCGGGACTGTCACCTCACTCGGCCCAAGCATCATCCACTCTGAGGGCGAAGGCGCCATAAAGAAACTGTCAACTGCAATGCAACCGCAACTTCCTAGAAACGTCAACGATTTGAGGCAAGCAACTGATTTCACGATCAGCATGCGAACTCTGGGGAAACTTCTGTTTGATCAGTTGCTCACGTCTTCTCAAGTGGGCGTGTTCGTCCGGCCTACTACTTGATTGTAATTTAATTTCGTGCACTTATCTTCTGCAACGTCAAATAATACTGGATCTGTCATAATTTGGCGGTGGTTGATACGGCGTGAGAAGAGAGAGTGACGACCACATGCAAAACACTGGGATTTTAATTAATTTAATTTAATTCAGGACAATTTAATTAGGATATATCGCTTTCAGACGTGATATGAAATTCTGACATACAGTGCAACAATGCTAGCAGGATAGAAGACACCTGATGATGGTCGTACATAGCCGAAACATGTAATGTGGAGGAAGAGAGACTAGAAAATAAGTTGCATTTGAGACGGAAATATATGTGAAATAAACGATATATTAATGCAATAGGATGCTTAAATGCAATATTTGGATTATAAAATATTTGGTGCATTTCTTCTTCTGTAACAATATAAACTGAGGAGCTTATATTGTTTGGAAATAACGTGGATCCAGACTCCTTCGTCTCGTGAGAAATTCTTTCCTAAGCCCAATCTGTTTTGTCCCGTCTAGCATAGTCTGGGTGGCGTTTGTCATATATGCCAGGCTCTTGCTCAATTAACTGCACAAAAACAAAACAGCTTCGTCAACCTTTCGTGCCATCTCAAGAATCAAACGAATCACTGAAGCGCGTTTAGAACAGCTGAAACCAGGGCAGTACGTTGCAACGCAACTGTGAGAAGACCGGTTTGCTCAGCTGCCTGGGAGTTGACTTCCTTAGTCTGCCACGAGTTGCCTTGCAATTGCGTTGCTCCATTCAGTTCCACGTGTTCAACTCAGGTTGATAACAATTCTCGGAAGTTGCGGTTGCGGTAACCGACCTACTGAGTTAACGTGACACTTCCTGGGTGAAGGCCATCTCGAAACGCAACCCGCGACACGCGAGTCTCTCAAAGGTCTCCAGCGAGGTGGTTAGTTTTGCGGAAACGTTCTAGACATGTATCCGGGGGCAGCTCAGTTCGAATTTGGGCCGAAACAACGCATAATATGACAGAGTGTTTTCGTGGATTTCCCCAACCCCTGTAGGAAATTGTGTGAATTAAGCCATGGTCATTTCCTTCCCAATCCCGTGCAATTCATCAGTCCTCCATTTCATTCTATGCTGTACAGCCCGGATGACGAAAGCGAAAATATCAATGCCTCCCCCACTTTCCAAATCGTTCCACAGTGGCAGATTCCTGTTATGACCAGCTTTCGTCGAAACATGGTTTACGCTTCTTCAATTCATAACCTTGACTCTCTTTGGCAGAAACCCTGATATTCTAACAGTTTCCAAAACTCCATTAATATCTACCTCAGCGTCTTTAACTTTTCCAAAGATGCGAACCTATCTGAGATTTCAACACAATACTGCTCCTTACCTTCTACTTCGTTTCATTTCTTGAGATTCAACCTCTCCATACTGACCATATGCGTTGCTTGTTTACTCACTGCCAGTCTTTCCCTACCTTCTGTCACTGCCAGGTAGTGGTCAGTATCACAATCTGCTGCCCTGATCGCTCGGACATCAAGTATACTTGAGTGCCGTCTCCTATCTAACAAAATATGGTCGATTTCATTGTGAGTCTTTACATCCAGGGAGTTTAAAGTAAGTTTACGAAGGGGGACCCCAAAAAAACCGGAATTTGTTTTTTTACTTCAAGTCTTCAACGTCAGCAAAACGTTTTCCCTTGAAGTCTCTTTTCATCCGAGGAAATAAAAAAAGTCACCCGGGGGAAGATCGGGTGAGTACGGGGGTGAGGCAAGGGTGTCATGCCATTTCTGGTCAAAAATCGCTGCAGACTCCTGTGTGGGCATGCGCGTTGTCATGATGAAAGAACCATTCACCAGTTTAACACAAATCGGGACGTTTTCTCCTTAAACTGTTAAGCAACCTTTACAGAACTTCGAAATAATTCTGGTTGACTGTCTGACCCTGGGGTACAAACTCTTAAAGCACGACGCCCTTGGAATCGAAGAAGAAAATGAGCATCGTTTTCACATTTGACTTCACTTGTCGTGCTTTTCTGGGACGTGGAGAATTGGGACCTTACCACTGGCTGGATTGCTGCTTTGTTTCGGGATCGTAACCGTAGCAACAAATTCATCTCCAGTTATGACCTTGGAAAACAAATCAGGGTCGGTTTCCAAGTGCTCCTTCAAAGCACGGCATGTGGCCAGGCGATTGTCTCTCTGATCAGGGGTGAGCAGATGAGGCACGAATTTCACTGCACGCCGTTTCATGTGCAATTCTACCGTTGAAACTCGCTGACAGGAATTCCATGCGATCCCAGTAAGCTCCACGAGCTGGTAAATCGTCAGCCGACGATCTTCCAGAATGATTTGACGAATTTTTATAACGTTTTCATTGCTTCGGACGATCGAAGAACGTCCACTTCGAGGTTGATCATCAGCTGACACTTCACGGCGTTTGAAACTGGAGAACCATTCGTAAATTTGTGTTTTACTCACGGCGGCTTCAATGTAGGCTGCTTGTAGCATAACTAGCGTTTCGGCTGCTGTTCTCCCCCAAAGCAAACAAAACTTCATAGCAGCATGTTCGTGTGAATCAGTCATTAAAAACAGACGAATTATAAAAGTCACTTGTAAAAAAATTCACCAAACAGTAACGCAAACTTCTCTGACGACGCCAGCCGGCATACTGATTCAGGAAGGTGCTGCAAACAATCACCTAGCGGCGGAAGCCTGTACTACAAGCGCCCCGCATTCTGGAAACAAATTCCAGGTTTTTGGGCACCCCTCGTATTAATGTTAACAATGTATGAAACGTTGTAGTAAGAATTAAATTTCGGATGCGACTACTTTAACTCCATCATCATTACTAACTTCATAAAAATCTCGCTCCTAATTTTTGTTTAGAATGTCTTCTCTACCTACTCTGGCATTGAAATCTCCTAAAAAAAACCTTCTTGTGGCATGGAATTTACTGAATGCAAGCTCTAATTGCTCACAGAAGCTGCCCTTAGCATCCTCTGTTGGGGCATCACATCAGAGGCCTCTCAGTACCTGTACCTAGTTCATGATTCTCATTCCCCTTCTCACAAAGAATGTATAACAGCCTTCTGGTTCGGTGCCACCTCTGTTCCATCTGACCTCATGTTCTCCCAGTAAATCTAACTTAGATTTTGCTATTTCTCTTGCAGCTGTTATGACCAAACCTGCCAACTACAGCCAAGAAAGCCGGGATGGCTCAGTCGGTATGACTTGACTATGGTCTGAATCAAAGAAGACACTGCAGTCTTCTGCACAGTGTCCAACAGCTCTGCGGCGCATCCACCGCGCATTCAATCGGCACAGGAGGCTCTATCCCAGGGGGTAAATCGGCAAAGGCGTTAAGCTGCCATCACCTCCTTCCGCATCCGAGGCCAAAACGCGTGGAGCTGTGTTCATGGCGCGTTGCTTAAACCGAATTTCAGCTTCTTCCTTACATCACAAAAAATCTTACGGGGAGATGTGCGCTACTCAACGATCCCATATGGGCAGATTTCAGCACGAAATCCAGCCACAGTTCTCAAACCACAAAGATTCCAAGAACAAGAAAGTGACCAGAAGAGATGCGAACCAGTTCCTAACAGACTAATTAATGAGACGGTGGACGCATACTGAGGCCACGGAAAGTGGTCCTATGGGTGCTTACTGTTTAACTCCACTGAATAACACCAACGAGAACAAAGCACTTGTTGTCAGCTGACGTACAAACGGTTGTACGATGGAGGGGAAGCTGTTAAGAGAGGGGTGTGCAGGGACATCTTTCCGTTGCTTCAATACGAATATACACTGCGTGTCCAAGACATTTATGAAGGCAGGTCTTAACTTCGATAGGTAACCTCATTAAAAAAAATTGTGTGTTCAATGGGATTTCTGGTATGGCGAAAAAAAAAAGGATCTCATAACTTTGTAATGACGGTGGTTATCATGACGCAACCTCAGAGATATTTCGGACAGGTGCGTATAGAGGGCAATGATGTGTAAACTGGAGAGGTACTTACTTTGTTTTCGACAAATTCGGATCGCTAGTTTTACGTCGCTCCCTCAACTGACGCTGAAAAGAAAGAATAAATGTTAAAAACAGGAAACAGTACAAGGGTGCTTACTGTCGCCCGGGATGTGAGGTCATGTACTCCAGCACAAGTTCACCGACCCTTCGAAGAAATGTACTCTTTGCATCTTCGGTGTTAAGGATCTGAGAAACAAGCGAACGAGGGAGGGAAAATGCTATCTGTTCTGCTTGCTTAACATGGGTGGGCAGTTACGTTCCTCCGAAACGTCGGTGAATTTGTCGGATTACACTGGTATAACATCTCAGAAGACTATGTAAGAATCTGATGCCTAACAAAGATACACGACATAGACTGAGGGTGTTTGAGAACAGGGTGTTGAGGAAAATATTTGGACTGAATAGGGATGAAGTGACAGGAGGTTGGAGAAAACTGCATAATGAGGAGCTTCATAACATGTACTCTTTTCCAAGTATAATTAGAATAATCAAGTCAAGGAGTAAGAGGTGGGCAAGTTATGTAGCACGAATGGGGGAGACGAGGAATGCATACAGGATATTGGTGGGAAAGTCAGAAGGAAAGAGACCACAGGGATGTCCAAGTTGTAGGTGGGTGGACAATATTAGAAAGGATCTTAGAGAGATCTGGCTCAGAATATGGACCAGTGGAGGGCTCTCGTGAACACGGTAATGAACATTCGGGTTCCATAAAATTCTTGAGTAGCTGCATAATTGGCGGCTCCTCCAGAAGGGCTCAGCTCCATGAGTAAGTAACAGAGATACACGGCGCTCAATATAACTAGAAAAGTAAAGGGTGACGTCACAGAAAGTATGTAGCTGTCTGTGGCTGCAAGGCCTCAGCTAAACACATTTGCCGCTGACAAATAATAACAATTAATAACGTGGCAATTTATTTCAAGACAGCATAACAGCGAACCCTGGGCGAAGGACAACCTGAAATGGGGGGCAGAAACAACACAGGATTTTACATTGAACGTCAAGACAAAATGTAATAGTTTTAAATTTGGAAACTTTTAAAATAAGACAAATTCTTGAAACCTCGTGGCGGCTGCATGTATTGTTATCGTGATGAGTAGCACTGATGTGGGTCCCATATGCGGGCGGAAACATGTAGCAACTATCAAATGAAACCAGTGTGAGCAGTTTGATTGGTTTATTTTTATTCTTACTTTTATTGTTGTGTTGACGGCCAAATCCCACAAATTACTAACAATGTTCTCAGTCAGAACGGGGGCAACTAGTCACTGCAAAGTGCTATTCTTGCCAGAGGTCACTAACACCGCTCATAATTCCTGCCACATGGAGAAACTGCAATAGTTGCAGGGACTGGTCGCAGTGCGCAAACGCAGTTCTATTCGCCCTCACCCGCGCCGAGTTTTTGTGAAACTCTCGTTCCACTTGCTTACAATGAGTTGACCTTACAAGGCAATGAAACCGCTGCACGTGGTTGTCTGGGTGGGGGTGGGGCAACGTACGTGGAAAACAGCCGCCCCCCGCAACGCAAGTACCGAGACATGCACAGGCATAAGCAAAGTCGTTACTGAATTATCTAAGCGCGGCGGCGTAGTTGGTTGTGACACTATGCTAAAAGCCGGAAGGTCGCGAGTTCCAGACCAGATGAACTATGGAACTGGGGTCGACTCAGCATCTAACAGAAATAAGTACCAAGAATCTTACTGTGGGTAAAGGGGCGAACGGCGCGTAAGGCTGACAACCTCACCGCCATCTGTGAACCGATTGTTTAGAAAAAATGTGGGAGACTCGACGGCTCACAAACCTATGGGCCTTCACGGCCTGTTACAGGGACAGCTTCGTTTGTTTATATATTCATGAGTATCAGTTGATTGTGGCGTCTTCAATGCAAATATGTTGTCGGTACATACAACAAAACAGAATAAAAAAAAATATTCAATACAGCTGTATTTATTAGTCGTACCTTAAATACTATATACAGTAACAGGATGAAAAAAATTAAGACAGAAGAACATAAAAAACGGTGACGAATGGTTAGAGTAAGGATACATTTAAATTCACCAATGCTTAAATCATCACAAATATGTATGTTTGCATGCATGTGCGTATCCACATATGATGGCTGGAACTTTAACACTGGCAACTATTTATTTCCAACTGATACAACATAGATGCATGTTTCGAAGTTTTACTGTCCTTCAATGTAGTCACCAGCGTTGTGTACAACCCGTTGCCAGCGATGTGGAAGTCGTAGGATACCTTTAGCAGCGCCTGTTGTGTTGATAGTTCGAATGGAGCGGTCTACTGCCTGAAGAATCTCTGGAACAGTTCTGAAGCGAATGCCACGAAGTGGTTCCTTCATCTTAGGAATCAAGTCGAAGTCACAAGGGCTAAGTCCGGGGAGTATGGTGGACGGTATAGCACTTCCCAGCCCAATCGATCGAACAAATCAGTAACAACAGATTGCCATTTCTGCATTTCCGTCAAATCATGCGGAACCCATCGTGATGCAGTTTTTCTCATGCCCAGGCGTTCCTTCAGAATGTGAAGCACAGCCGTATGCGCTAATCCTGTCTCTCGGGCCAGCTCACGAATCGTATGGCGTCGATCACTCTCCAGTAACGCGGAAAGAGCATGCACTTCTTCTTCACTGACAATAGGATGACCTGGCCGACGCATGTCTGCAACATTTTGGCGTCCCTCGTTGAAGGCTTTTACCCAACTTTCCACTGTTCTGTAAGGCAACGCAGATTCCCCGCAAGCCTCTTGAAGACCTTGATGACACTGTCGTGCTGTACGGCCTCTGGCACATTCAATCTTTATCCAACTACGTTGTTCCTGTTTCGAAAACATCGTGACAACACTACATTAGACCGCCAACTAACACGAGGCCATGTTCTTCTCGTCACTGCGCATGTGCGTGATGTGTGAAGGGAGAGTCCATTTGCTCTGAGGTAAAGTAGGTATGTAACTAACGTGTGGTATAAGCGACTTTATTTGGTTCCGTTGCATGGCGTTTCTACAGCAGTGTTGCCACTATTAAAGTTCCAACCCTCATAGAACTGGCTAAAAAATCCGTAAAAACAAACATGTAAATTCCTTTCAAACAAAGCAACAGCCAGACAGGGACTAACTTTAGAGTTCGCGTATTTAAAGCCGGACTGCTGGCTAGAAGTCAGTTTGCATCCGGAAGGTCCTGCGACCGGCCAACTCCTCGGTCCTAGAGCAAATGCTAAGCAGGATCCCAAATTCCATGATGAACCGCTTCCTTCACATATCGCCATTCCAAAGAGAACGTCAAATTTTCACCATAATGTAGTCCTCAAAATATCAGATCAAATTTCACTATAATGCTGCCCTTCCAGCGTCACATAAAAATATAATTCCAATCATATGCATTACCTCTACCAGAAGGACGAGCGGGCACTGCCTGGGTACCTTCAAAACGGGAAATATAGTTTCTTGCTCCCGCCCGACAGGAGTCTCACCCTACCTCACCATTTCCCCCCCCCCTCTCGCCCCCTTCAGTTGTGTGTTCCGTATGGTTCTCACAATAAATAGCGACTGTTCCCCTAAACAACATTAACCGGTTTGTCTTTAAACTTGATAGCCAGCAGATTCCTGTATCAGTAAAGCTGAAGACGCGTGTTCGAATCTCTACCAGGACACCGGCCTTGCTGACGTATTTAGTTGTCTTGCTGTCCCTCCAGGCAAATGACGGGATAGGACCTCGATCAGGTCACGGCCGCTTCCTTCCAAATCCTTTACAATTCACCAATGAGACAGTGGCAACCAGCGCAACCGTGAGGTTGTGCCTCTACGTGTTCTGTTTGCTGTGGTTCAAGTGGACACTGCAGCTGGGCGAAGGGCGGGAAACCGTACGCTCACAGGAGTCGGAAGGCGATCAATGCGAACCGGGATCCTAGTCAGGGGCCTCGGTGAGTCCCACGAACCCAGTCGCGTCGCCACTGCGCTACTGACACAACTGGACAACAGGATTGATTAACTGACTGAGAAATCAGTCGCGTGGAATAAGAGAACATATCATCAACAGAAGCTTCTGGGAAGAACCAATCGCCTATTTGCCGTCGATAGGACACGTACCGCATACAAAACGGAAGAACGGGGGCGGGTACACAGCAACGTGACCACATAATCACCCCGAATAAAAAATAGGTGGGAATACAGCTGTTCGGCGCGGCGTTTTCTATGCTATCCGCGTCATATCAAATACTCAGAATGTAGTGAAAGGGGGCGAACAGAGCTACCTGGAAATTCTTGTTATAATTCCATTATCAATAATATCTGTTCTTCGGCCGGGGCGTGCTTGCTTGTCAGTACCAAAATACATGGCCTAAGGTCAGACTACTCGGGTAACACAAATTGGGGGGGNGAGATGAGAGCGTCAGCCTGACATTCTGTTTGGTATTGCGATGTGTGGAACAGACATATTCACTTCTGTTTCGACTCCCTCGTACAGCATACAAACGGACGTCTCGATAGGCACAAGAAGCTACTGGTACATTCTGCAGTTAGCAAACCAACGCACAACCAGAAAGTATTAAGTTCAAAACGACAGTACAGGCAATGTTACAGCGTACATCACACACGCTCATTGAAGGTAACACATTAACACATCAAAGACTGGACCACTTCTACATAATATAATCAAATAGTTCTGGGAAGAATAGCCTGCTTTCCTCTGACATACACGGACCGCATATAAACTGACGCGTAAAATTCTTTTAACCGAGCCCCTACCAAGCAACGACAAGAGAGACACAAAGACCACTCTGGCTTCCAGGAAGCTCTCAACTGAAGAAGTGGAGGGTGGTAGTGAGACACACTATATTAGGGGGGGGGTGTAAGAAGCTATATCTCCGATTTTTAAGGCTCCCAGGCAGTGCACGCTTGTCCTTCCAGTAGGGGTACATATAATCGGGTTTTTTAAATATATTACATATTTTATGACGCTGGAAGGGGTGCAATATAGTAAAATTTTTTGCTAACGTTGGGAGGACTATATTAGGGTGAAATTTTGATGTTACCAATGAAAGGGCTGCATGTGAGTCATGCAGTGCAACGTGGAATTTGGGTACCAACGCAGCATTTGCTCTAGGACCGAAGAAAACTACGGAAAATCTTGGTCGAGTTGGCCGGTCGCTGGATCTTCCGGATGCAAACTGATTTCTAGCCAGCAGTACGGCATTGAAAGCGCGAACCCTAACATCAGACACTATCTGTGCTGTTGCTTTATTTTAACGTTTACGTGTGTGTTTCTACATGTCTTTTTCAGGAAGCTGTGGTTTGTCTAACACTTATAAAATTCTATCCAGACCTCACAGGAAACACGTTACATCTCCGCTACAAAGCCCAACCGGTTAATGTTGTTTGGGGAAACAGTCGCTGTTTAAAGGAGAGGCATACGGAACACACAGATACACTTCGAAATAATATATAAGAATTCAGTTCGCACCTCACAGGAAACACATTACGTCTCCGCTACAAAGCCCAACCGGTTAACGCTGTTCGGGGAAACAGGCTCTGTTTATTGTGAGAATCATATGGTACGCACAAATATAAGCGTTAGTAGAACCCCGAGTTAAAGCAAGTGGTGCACATAGCGACCAATGGGATTTAAAGGGTTGAAGAATATGTTATCGTCTCTATAGGTACACCAGATGCTAACATTTCTGAATTCCTGTGTACTACAGCTTATCCCTCGTAATATCCGGAACGGTACATAGCCCGCTGTTTTAACCCCCCCCCCTTCACTTGCTCCTCCTCCTTTAATTACATTGTCAACGCCTTCAAATCACGACAATTTTGTGGCCCACCATTTCTACCACACCACATGGCATGGCATGTCAGCCCTCACTGTGTTTCCCTCTTGGCCGCGCCACCGCTCAAGCGGTTAGTCGCTGGCGTCCTACTGCGGCGGCCCGGGTTCGATCCCGGGTCTTGTCAAGAGGGATTTGTGGTGGACTAAGTTGCACTGGGGCGGGTTTTCTCCGAGTACTTCGGTTTCCCCTGCAAATCTTCATTCCACCAAATTCTCCATCATCATAATCACCTGGGACAGGCTAGAATAGGCCAATCAGTGACCGCTGTATCAACTGGACCCAGTTGGACCCGACCCACCAATAAGCGAATTAAAAAAAATTAAATATTTTCCTCTTAATGCGACCAGGTTTCACACCCATACAAAGGGTACCAATATGAATTCCTCAATCCGAACTGGGGTTGCATTCATATTTTGCTGGTATTTCTCCCTGTACATTTAGAGTGAGCTAATATTATTCATCTCGCGAAGAGCTGATCACCCGGCCAGGGAGTCCTACCGTTTGTAAAACGACCAAAAATCTGAGAAATCAACCCTATGCTCCGAAGTGGGAAAATATCATTAATCCGCAAGGAAAATGAATTTTATACCAATTCCCTTAACGGTTTTGTGGGTTCCTGGTACTCATTTCTGTTAGAGGCTAGGTCGAATCCTGGGCCATAGTGTGGCTGGATGGATTAGGTTAATTTAAAAATGCAATGACCTGACCGGGACTCGAACCCGCGCCCTTCCGGCTTGTAGCATAGTGCCCCCTTTAATTAGAACGTACATGTCAAATATAGATATGATTACAATAACGTTCCCCCTAAGCCGGGGATGCGAGTGTCTCCCGAGCTGCAATATGCAGTGTGCACACACCAAAAAAGTAGGAGAGGTCTGAGGCGACTAAGTGATCTGTAACATGATGCTGCAATGGAGATGAGCCATTCTTGAGAAGCTGCCACTTGTGCAGCTACTCAAGATTTCCCAAACATTTTATAGAAGCGGAAGGTTCATCACAATGCTCACAAGAGTTCGCCAGTTCACAGAAACTTGGTTCGTAAAATCTCTTCACCAGTTTGCATTACGCGACAGAATTTTCATTTTCCTAAGAGAAGAAGAACAAATGCTGCCGGTCACGGTAGCCGAACGGTCTAAGCCTTGCATGTCTTCGCTCGCTCGGAAGCCGGGTTCGTGGCTTCGAATCCCAATTAGGACATGGATGTTTAGTGTCTGTGTGTGTGCCTTTGTGTTTGTCTACAGGTAGAGGCCTTGCGACGAGCTGGTCACCCGCCCAAGGAGTCCTACCGAATGCGTAAGATCTAGTAAACCGAAGTGAAACGGAGTTTCATGGAGGTAGGCCAAGGCACAAACTTGGGCTGTAGCGCAAAAGGAAAAAGGAGGGGGGGAGAAATCGTCCCCAAATACTGTATAACGGTAGACAACAGCATTAGCTCAGTCCATCACTTTCTGATTCCAGATTAACTTGTTTCCACACGTTTCCCTACTTCGCACGCAAACATCACGAACTCTAAGCAAAATTCGAACTTAAGCACGGGGAATGCAAAAAAAAACCTATAGCGAAATCGCCAATCAGAGCGACTCTAACCGACTGAGCCGATGTTACTGCAATTTCCGCCTTCAGTAACTCGTTCTCTCGTCTGATGGCGCCAACGATACAGAACCTGAACTGCCCGTCGCCATCGGATCAAATGGGATCGGTCGGCAATACAACCAAACGTTTATTGGTATGGAGTTCGTGAGTTGTGAGCTGCTGACACCGGCCACAGCTTCTGGGCGAAGTGAAACTGCTGCTGGTCCTTGCCAGCACTGCCATTCTTGATACCGGGGATCGCGGGACTCACGACTCTTGGCGTCGCAAAACTACTGACCGAAAATGCTTAACCGGAACCTACGTCATGACGTCATGATTGTGCGGAAACAGCACCTGTTACAGAGAGGCTTCATAACAGTTCTCGGAATACACACACAGGTTATTTCTCTGTAACCGATATGCTGTGTGTTTTCGTGCGGTAGAACCTCAATTATTAACACGCATTCGTATTACGGCTCCCAGAGCGGTTAGATAGCAAAATATGACCAGGGGCCCCGTGGGACTCGGAACCAAGAATCGCTGCTGGCGAAGCCCACCAACAATTTAGCAGAGATCAATACGAGCATTATAGTAAGGCACACTTCTTGTGGCCTATCAAGGTCATTCCATAAGATGCCAGTATTGATGTACAAGGCTAACCTCGCTGTCAGCCGAACCCAACAAATGTAACTACACGAAAACAGAAGTATGCAGGAACGTTTTTCTTTTAGCAAGTTGAGAGCCAGGATAGCTCAGTCGATAGTAGTGACCGGCTACGGGCTCGACCGGGACGTCGGCGTTGAGTCCGGATAGGGTTAAGAATTTTCTTCACGTCGTCCAAACCGGGTCTGAGGCTCACTCAGCTTTCTACACAATGTCACTCGGGGGCGCTTTCACCGGGAGTGGGGCTTGAAGCTGACCACTCACCTCCAACTAGTGCCGAGGTCAAGGAAACATGGATTCATATATCCACTCCCCCATACGCCTTCATGTGGTAGTGCTTAATTAGTTAAACATAAAAACAACTTTGCCAATTGCTCTACAGTTCATTTGCTGGACTCTGGCCGCTACCTGACAGACAGACATTTATGCCTTCAGTGGTATCTGAACACACTACTCCAGCGTTCGAGCAAGGGAAGACGGCTCATGGCTTAGACCGCGCGGCAACTGTGATCGGCCATTTTTTATTTATCTTCAGCAATAAGCGAAAATGTGATGACCTTGACCGGCCAAAGGAGATACCCCCCCACACTTTAACTAAGATCAATTTTCCATTTGGTTTCCCTGGAAACGCCGAACCTACAAACACTGCCTCGCTTAGACTTACGAGTACACTAAAGTTTCAAGTTCCCTTACCTTTTGATGCACTCGCTCCTTGTAGCTTTCCGAGCGATTGATCGAAGCAGCTGAAGGCTTCTTGCTTACAGGATGGGTGCTGAAACGAGAAGAATAGCATATCTGAAAATTTTGTCCAATTCGTTTAATGCTTGCTACCATTCAGTCCAGAAACTTTTCTCTCCTCGTCTGTCTAAAAACATAAAAAAAGAATTGAATACATAAAACTATACTTCTGCCTTGAAGCAAATGCAAGATTGCACCGTCAGCGTCTAGCTGATGATGGTAATATACTGGGACAGAATACACTCGTAAATATCCAACAGAAACTCTCAGAAACTTTGTCAGATGCCAGTAAGGAGACTGGTCCAGCAGGAAATTCAGGTTATACCGAGTGTACTGTCACGTGTTGACTACAGACGCGAGGGTTAGGTTGCTAACAGGATTCATTTTATACTTACAGAACCCAAGTGCGACTAACTACGTCAGTCTCACTGAGTACATACACACTCCAAAGATCACTGTCACTACACCATACAGAGTCTTCAAAATCTGTTGCTTGGTAGCGGCCTCCAACGGCAAACGCTCCTCTTCATCTGGGTTCCCGAACTGTCTCCGGCTTCTGACATCTCAAAACAACAACTCTCAAAGCCAGATTTACTTCACAACTGGCGGTTTACCGCCAATCAGTTAGCCCTGGCGAGAAGCCCCTTGAGACTCACGACCAGCATTCTTTCTTTCAACTGAAAACTTGCTTTCATAGTCCTTATGTAACATCCCGGATGACGAGGACAGGTCTGTCGTTTACAATTGCTGCTGGCTCTCGCCAGCGCAGTCATTCTCAGGTCAGAGTCCCGCGGGACTCATTACATATTTTTATTGCTAGTGGGGTGGGACTAAGTCCCTTGTACTGCGCCCACTTCTGACCTATTGTACCAGCCCCAGATGATACGTGAGGGTGACTGTGGAGCGATTGGTGGAATGAAGATTGGAAGGGGAAACCGAAGTACTCGGAGAAAACCTGCCCCAGCGCCACTTTCTCCACCACAAATCCCACTTGACCAGACCCGGGATCGAACCCGGGCCGCCGCGGTGGGATGCCCGCGACTAACCGCTTGAGCTATGGCGCGGTCTTACACATTTTACTGTCTCAAATTTGAGACTCCACAACCTGGAGGGCCAGGTCCCCGTATTTATTTCCCACGGGAACAGGGTGGCCCGGTTATACCCCCAGGCAGTGGGTTCCCTTCTCGTCGTCTCCTGAGACTCGCAGAGCTACGGTGGAAGTATTCGAACCTGCCTCCACACTGGGTTCTACCAGTCCCCGTTACATTGCCTCGGCACGAAGCACACAGAGAACGACCATTACATTACTGCGTGTTCTCTCGTTGCGGGGAGACGTGTCCACAGAGCTGTTCCCTAACAACGGCTGTTGTACTGTCGCCTGTTTACACAGCTGTTAGTTGGCAATATTCTGCATACCACAGCACGTTACCAAAATGCAGTCCAAACTTCAAACAATTTGCCACGACGATGACAAATCAAAAATACATTTGCGGAAACGCTGAAAGCTAGGACGTAAACACAGAAGTTGAGGACGCTACAGCGTTGGTAACCGTTACCAGGCGACAACAGGTGAAGATACAGCAGACTGAGGAGAGTTCGTACTTGATGTAGTGAACTGCAGTGTGTGTGAATTATCGTTAGAGCTATAGTCACCTGTCGTTACGAGTTGTGTGAGTGCGCAATCCAAACCCCGTCTACAGTCGCACTCCGTCACGTGACAATGCTGATGTTACAGCTGTATTCCTGCACTCATATTCAGCAATCGATGGATGGGATTGGTACGCTTTACGCTCCGGCCGTTTCACCACCGGGGAAAGAGTACGCGGAACCCGTTGGAAGGAGGATGGGTGGGCCCCAGAGCCGGTCTGGTCTGGACGTTGCGGAGACTCATTCTCCGATGCCTCAGTCCAGCTAGCAGCCTAGTGCCAATGTCACGTGTCTCTTGTGAAAACGGTACGAACCTTTGCATTTATGAAAAATGGGGGAAAATCTTGACCCCCGAGTGACTATCAGCTTATTCAAAATTATGCTACAGGTATCAAGTTCCGTCGTTGAATCTGATGTCATTAGCCACACTCCGACTCGGAAATGTGCGTAGAAGGCCGATTTTTCGTGCGCACGACAGGAACAGTCGCACACAGGGGGCGTCCATGTGTCAGTTCGCGGTGCCACAGAGGCTACAACAGCCGCAAATACGTAACCAGCCGGGAAACCAACGAGTGCTGTTACTCGCGTGATTCGCAACATTCCGTGGAAACAGGCTACCAATAGTCCCCATCCTGTGCAACATTATTCCAGTTTACTATTACTCTCCGATACACGTCTGGAGTTCACATGAAACTAGTTAGGCTTATTAAAACATGACAAAATGAAACCTAAGGCAAAGTCAGTATAGGTAAACATTTGTCTGATACGTTTTCACTAAAAATGGTGTAACACAAGGAGATGCTTTAACTGACGCTAGTAAGGAGGTTGGTCTACAAGTAAACGTAGAGAGAACTAAGTATATCTTGCTGTCTTGTCACCAAAGATAGGAAACAGATGCTTCGAAAAATTGGCACAATTCAGATTTTTGGGAACGACAGTAACGAATCAAAATTTGATTCACGAGTAAATTAAGAGGAGATTGGACTCGGGTAATGTTTGCTACCATTCAGTCCAGAACCTTACAAAACTATAATTTTGCCTGTGGTTCTGTATGGGCGTGAAACTTGATCTCTGATATTAAGGAAGGAACATAGACTGAGGGTGTTTCAGGAGAATATTAGGACCGAAGAGAAATATAGTGACAGGAGGCACAATGAGGAGCTTCATAACTTGTTCTAAACTCCAAGTATAATTAGAATGATCAAGTCAAGGAGGATGAGGTGGGCAGGGCATGTAGCACTAACTGAGAAGAGGAATGCATACTGCATATTGGTGGGGAAGCCAGAAGGAAAAAGACAACTAGGAAGACCAAGACATAGGTAGGTGAATATTAAAATGGGTCTGAGGATGCGGTGGTATGGTTTGGATTAATCTGGCTCATGATATACACCAGTGGAAGGCTGTTGTGAACACGGGAATGGACCTTCAGGTTCCATAAACCGTTCGGAAGTTCTTGAGTAGCTGCGAGGCTGGAGCCTTCTCAAGAAGCGACTCTTTCCTATTCATTTCTCTCCTCTCACCCGTGCTACAAGTCTTTCGCATTTCATCCTCCTCGACTCGATCACAGTACGCGTAGTAACCAGCGAACAGTACAGCTCATCGTTCGGCAACTTGCTCCAGACTCCTGAACATCCTCCCAAGAACAGCAAGGCTTATCACGCAATTCCCAAGCGGGGAAACCCAGCGCCAGGAGCAGGAAAATCAACTTCCTCTGACATTCGGTTACCTCACCTCGTCGCCAGCCATCCGCGATACACAAACCACACGCTGCTTGGGGTGAAAGCACTGAAACGCGCATTAAGCTAGCTGACGACTGCGCCATAGCTCAAGCGGTTAGTAGCTGGCTTCCCACCGCGGCGGCCCGGGTTCGATCCTGGGTCTGGTCAAGTGGGATTTGTGGTGAACAAAGTGGCGCCGGGGCAAGTTTCCTCCTAGTACTTCGGTTTCCCTTGCCAATTTTCATTCCACCATTTGCTCCTCAACCACCCTCACCTACCATCTGGGGCTGGTACAATAGGCCAGAAATGGCCGCGGTACAAGGGACTTAGTCCCACCCCACTAGCAATAAAATAAAAAAACTAGCTGACTGTACAGTACAGTCTCTGGTACGGGCACTCTGGCTAACCGTCTTGGAACAGCAATGACCGACAGGTGCATTTCCATACTCCTTCCACTGCACATATCGGTATACTACTGCCAGCTTTCCGCGATTCTTGTGTGGCGCTATTTAATGACGCTGTCTCTACCTAGTGTGGTCGGACAGGTGAACTGAAAAGGATTTGGAAGGAAACGTTAGTGGCATAATCGAGGTACTGTCCCTTGACGTTGGACTGAGGAAAACAAAAAAAGTCTGGATATCCAAAATGCCCTGGAAAATATTTGAACCGTCCACCATTCGAACCAGATTCCTCGCGTCAGTACTACCACTGCATCGCGACCCTTCTGATTTTCTTCTAAATTATATTTAAATGTTCGGTCCGTACCTCACAGGAAACACATTACGACTCCGCTACAGAGCCCAACCTGTCAATGCTGTTTGAGGAAACAGTCGCTGTTTATTGTGAGAATCATACAGAACACACAGACACACTTCTAAACAAATATATAAGAATTCAGTTCGTACCTCACAGGAAACATGTTACGTCACCGCTACATAGCCCAACCGGTTAATTCTGTTTATTGTGAGAACCATATGGAACACACAAATACACTTCCAAATAGTAGATAAGAATTCAGCCCGTACCTCACAGGAAACACATTACGTCTCCGCTACAAAGCCCAACCGGTTAATTCTGTCTGGGGAAACGGTCGCGGTTTATTGTGAGAACCATACGGAACACATAAATACACTTCCAAATAGTATACAAGAATTCAGCCCGTACCTCACAGGAAACACATCACGTCTCCGCTACAAAGTCCAACCGGTTAATGCTGTTTGAGGGAAACAATCTTTTTTTTTTGTGAGAATCATATGAAACACATAAATACAGTATGGGCAAAGTGTAGTTAAACGTTCAATCGTGTACAGTCCGTGTTTTTGACCTGGCCGCTATCAGCAGAATGCGCAGTGGATCTGGTCGGGCTCAATGAGATGGACTGGAGGGTGTCATCAGGGGATTTGGTCGGGTTCACTGAGATGGACTGAAGGTTGTCATCAGGGGATTTGGTCGGGTTCACTGAGATGGACTGAAGGGTGTCATCTGGGTGTTAGTCACAACGTGTCAACCTGCCTCCGACAACGCGATTGCCCGCTACTTCCCGACTTCCGCCCCCCCCCCCCCCNCCAGTGGCAAGTCACAAAAACACGGACCCGAGAAGAAACAGCCACTCCGTGTGACCAAGGGCACTCACTTTTTATTAGGGCCAAGACTAGCAGGCAGGCTTCTC